GAAGCCAGAGAATTGACATATGCGGATTTTCCATCTAAGTTTGTTTGGAAAAGCAGAGAGCGTGTCTGGAAACCCCGAGTAAAAGGATTCTCGATAGGAAGGATTATGTATGTTTCTCCTTCCCTTGGAGCCAAGTATTATCTAAGGCTCCTGTTAAATTCTGTGACAGGTCCTACATCTTACGATGACATCAAAACGGTAAATGGCATTATATATCCTGAGTTTGTTGATGCTTGCAATGCACTGGGGTTGCTCGCAGACGACCGAATATTTATAGATGCTATAAAAGAAGCGAGTTATTTCGTGAAAGGTTTACCCTTGCGAAAATTATTTGTGATGATGATCGTCGCCGGAGATATAGTAAATCCTTTGCGAGTTTGGGAGGAGACTTGTGATATACTGTCGGAAGGTATCTTATTCGAACGTAGAAAAGTGTCGAGGAATCCGGGTAGGTGGATCATTTCTATTGTTTATGAAATATATATAGCTGTCTTATTAATTGAATAGTAATAATAACATGTTTCGTGTGGTTTGCAGCTTTGACGCTTTCTGATAAACAAATAAAAAATTTCACGTTGGCGTCTATTGAACTCTTGCTGCGGGATAACGGGAAGACTCTGTCTACTATCGAAGGATTTCCGCAGCCGGATGATATATCTCTTGATACGAGTACAAATCGGCTGTTGTTGGATGAGCTTGGTTATAACCACGAAAAAGAAGCGAAAGAACACGTGAGACTCCTAGCCACGATAACGGATGAACAAAAAGTAGTTTACGATGAAGTGATGAAGGCAGTTTTAGATAAAAAAGGCGGTGTCTTTTTTCTATATGGATACGGGGGCACAGGCAAAACGTACGTCTGGAGTATTTTATCGGCTGCTTTAAGGTCTATGGGACTTATTGTTCTTAATGTAGCATCGAGCGGGATAGCCTCTTTGCTGATGCCTGGAGGTAGAACTGCACATTCAAGATTTTCGATACCTCTAACGGCTGATGAATTTAGTATGTGTGCGATGAAACCATCATCCCATCTCGGTGAGTTGGTAAAACAGGCTAGCTTAATTGTATGGGATGAGGCTCCTATGATGAGCAGACATTGTTTTGAGACGTTGGATCGTAGTATTCGGGATGTTATCTTTCAAGATTGATAATCGATGAGTGGGTGAGCATTAAAAATTTTGATGTATCACGGGTTAACAGCATATTGAGACCAGTACCGCATAGATTCAAGATTGTGTTTCGTTCGGACACTTTAGTGCAAAGTATTAATATGTGCTCCAGTAGAACCTATTTCAATCTAACTGAGTTTGTGAGTATATTGAGTGGTATTGTTAATCCGAATATTTGCGTTGGTAAGCCTAATTTATAAATTTATTTGTGCTTTTGGAGTTTATTTGCGGTTCATGTTCTGACTGTATTATTCATGTGTGTGTTTCATAGATGTTGTTGGCAAAATTGTCAACGTGAGAGAGTTGGTTTTTGTTCCTTCCGTGGAACATTCTCAAGGAGGATATTTTGAGCTGTACTTTGGTTTACGTGATACTGAGTAAGTCACTATTCTTTTAAAGATTTAAACCAGAATATAATGTCTTATATGACTTCTTCAAATCTTAAAATTAGGTGTATCCATCTAGAGTGTCGTTTAACGGGTGACCTTGCAGTCGAGTTCTATGACTTATGGAAGCATCGTTCACGTAACACAGTGATATGTATTATCAAGTTTGTGAAATTAGAACTATCACAGGAACATAGGTGGAGATGTACCAATGTTACCGGAAGTACGAGGATTATGTTGAATCCGGATCTCAGTATTACCGACGAGATGCTTTGTTGGTAAGTATTTTTTTTTTCCGTTTACAATCAAAACTCTAAAGTTGGCGACTGGACATTCACTGTTTATGGTGTTCTTAATCGGATGTCAGGAATCCTGAAAATGACCAAGTACCAATCATCACACGGAAGGAGAATGCCATGGAGTGATGATGTTCGTTGATTTCTTATTTTGTTGGTGAATGATTTTAAAAGATGATTTATTATTATTTTTTAGCATTTATAATATTATTGAATTTTTTAAATTTCATCATTTTCCATAATTTTACCACACTAAATCCTAAACAATTTACCATTTTTTTATTACACTACCAAGTAACACCTAAACAATCCCTTATTTCACATGATTTTACCATTTATACAACATTCTTCCCGCGCATGCGCGCGGGCAATCACCTAGTTGTAAAAAATACTATAAAAAATAATTTCATGTTTCTTATTAATATTTGACTATCAATTTTTTTAAATGGAAACGTAAGCTTCTATAATGGAATCGTAAGCTTCCAACGAGCTTCCAAAGTAAATTTTTTGGAAACGCTATGGAAGCGAGATTCCAAAAGCTTCCGATTCCGACTAAGATTCCGAAGCGGGAAGCGGACCTTCGACGAAGACTCAGTAAAAACATCTTTATGAATTTGATCAAATACGTTTCACTTCATCCAAAATACAAAACTCAATAAATGTTGAATTGCAGTCGATGTTATAGTTTGATATAATTTGCAGTAAAAATTATGTGGTATAAACTGCAGACTGATGTAGTAATAATAATTAGAAGTTGCAGTATATGTCATTAAAGATAATTAAATTATATATTAAAAATAATAACAATATTTCTTACAAATAAAATAAAATAATACTAAAAACATAGTTAATTTGAAAAAATATTTTGTTACATAATAATTATAAAACTAATGACTTACATTTCATAGCCTATATAAAATTTCATCTTTATTAAATCTAGTCTTATAAATAGTTTATGATAATTAAATGAAAATAAAAAACATAAACTAAAAAATTAAACATGTTAAGAAAATTAAGAAATTTAATTACCTATTTTTTTGAAATGTTATTGAATAAAATTAAGATAATAATAACAATTTTTTTTCTCATGATTCAAATTAGTTTAAGACATTTTCTTCTAATTTAACTAATTTTCGTTTTGTAAAAAAATAAAAATTATAACTCAACTTACCACATCCTAACTCATGAGAATTTCCACTTACCAAAAAAAAAAAAAACTCATGAGAATTTCCATGTTTTTGAGTTAAGTTTTGATTTAGCAATTCTACAAAGGAGATGACTCAAAAATGTAAGTTATTCATAACTCAACAAACTTCAACCTCTAATGCAAAATTTTAAAAACAAATCATGATTGGTAACATTTTTGAGTTATCTTCCTAATTCAATGATACAACATAGTAACTCATGTCACCAATCACACCTTAAATATGACAGGTGCGATTTCATTTTCAAAAAAACAAATATCTCTACCATTTTTTATAAATTTCATCAAATATGTTTCACTTCATTCTAAATAGAAAATTCAGATAAATATGACAGGTAGTTGCGATTTCATTATCATAAGAATTTTCTTAGAATTTGACAAAAAAAACAAATATTCCAAATAACTTTTATTCGTCCCCATTTTCAAGAGACACTTTGGTCATATGATTCCCTAAATTCTATCTGGCGCAGGCAAACTTAAGGGGAATAGGAGGATCCGAAAACGCCCCGCCGTTTATTTTCTGAAATATCCAACTGTTTGCCGTTTCAGTGAAATGTATGCCATCCCAGCTAACTCTAAACGACACGTCGTTACAAGACTTAGCAAGCACAATCTCTTTCCCTTCCACCATAACTTTGGCTCCACATTTGATTAGCTTGTTGTAATTGTACTTTCCACCATGTCCACAACAAGCCACCAAAGGATATCTAAAACCTAAAGCACCAAATTCAAACATAGAATAAACCGTTAGAACTGGTCTAAACAGACCCCGAGTCACCTAAGGTTTGTTATAAACATGAAAAATGGTTTGAAAAGTACCGAGTTTCTTGGGATGAGTGATGAGAGTAAGCTTGATAGAGTAGATATCAACATAAGTAAATGCAGCATCAGAGAGCTCTTTTCTTAACCCAATTACTCTTCTTTTTAGTTCAGAGTTATAATACCGAGCAATCTCATTACGCGGAATTGCACAACCGTGATTGTCGATTTGAGAAGCCGGTACTGGAAAACGGTCTAAAACATAAGGTAAACAACCAAGTGGAGCTGTGTTGTGTATCCAGAATCTTCTTCCTCCTTTACTATACACCTTCTACAGAGACATTTAAGACGGTTGGTTAATTCAGTTAATCACAGCTATGAATAAATACACTTTATCTTTGCTTACACGAATGGCGTTAGAGAATTGATCAAGAACATCTGGTATATAAGCCTTGATTTGATCTGTAGTCATGTTGAGTTTTAATCCAGAGGTAAGATCGTTCTGACCAATGTCGAATGTGTACAATGCTTGAGAGAAATACTCTTTCTTGGGAAGTAATTTCTTAAACACTCCACCTAATGTAAACCAAATCGGATTACAAAACGTTCTGATAATCTTGCATTCTTAAACATTGTTGATTGTTCTTATATGATTTCGGATCTAAAAGGTTGAAACTTTTAAAGTACCTTGATTGCGAATGAGTTGTGATCGTGTGATGAAATCGGAGAATTGAACCAATTGAACGTCGAGAGAGATTGGACTCGAACCGCCCTGAGAAATGGTGCTGTTTGGTGGCCGGATGGTGGAACCAGCGGTGGCGAAATTGGCACCATGGCTGAAGTTTGAACCGATGGAGTCCAAGAAAGCATTTAGGTATGGTAACCCTAACTCCTCCGCTGATTTTCAACAATAGAAAATAATCAAATGGTTAGTGAGAAAACTGAGTAAAGATTAGAAATTTATGAGTGTGTGTGGTCTCAGAACTAAGAACCTATGAAGTCAATGATGAGTCGACCATCTGCGAAACGACCGGAAGGGGAGTGGAAGAAAGTTTGACCATTAGGGTAAGGGGCTTGTCCAAAGGCAGCGGAGAGGCCACCTGTGTCGGAGTTAGAGTCGCCGAAGTTGAAGATCGCCGGAAAATTGCAAGGAGAGCAAACACGTTGATGTATGAGACATGATGCTAATAAGACTAACTTTATCAACAAGTGATTAGTTTCCATTGTCTCCGAAGTTCTTAAGAGAGGGAGAATATTTATACTATTCATTTTCTATCAAATAATTAAGTCAACGTTTACAAAGTCTTTATTTATTTGAGCTACGAAGTCTTTAAATATCTTAAATAACTTAATTATAAGAGTATAAGATTTTATTAATAGGACTTACAATTTACAAAGTCATTATTTATGTTAGATTGCATAATCATAATTCATCTAAGCGATGTATGAACTATATACCCCCAATATAATGTGCCAATTCCTCAAGGCTAGAGCTTAGGAATCAAAGGCAGGCCACGAACAAGAGACAAAAGTAAACGCAGAGGCACAAAGAATCCACAAAGAATAGTTCAAAGACAACCCCAGTGAGCCTAAACGAGCCAATCATGGAACATATGGCTGTAGAAATTTCCCTAGTCGAAGAAAACTATTGATTAGACTTGCCATGTTCCTAAAATTGCACAAAGTCATTCTTTTTTTCCTGAAAATGACATTTTGTGTTGCTCATGAAGGGATGTTTGAGTTCCAGTAGCCAAGTATCAGTCAGCAATGTATATTTCCCAATCCCATCACAAGTTTTATAGATCAGTCTTTAATTTTCACGGCTAAACCCGAGTATCAGACCATCCTGCATCATTGTTTACCAGAATCAATAAACGGTATATCCCCAAATATAACAACATTTGAATTTTACCAAATGCTGATCCTGGATATTCCGTAGAGATCAATCACGTACCTGAGGCTTTTGCAAATTTGGTGTTGGGGGATAACCCACGCATTCATTACGATAAGCATAAAGTAGCACATCTCAAATTGTCTCAAACCAACCAAGCACAAGGTTTCCATACGGATCAACATATCAAAAGGAGAGAGAGCACTTTAGGAACATAGTCGACTCTTGAGTTTAGGGCCAAAATAGAGACACATCTTCTTTCTCGAGCAATCCAAATACATTGAAGAAAATAGACCATCCAGCATAACTTTGACTTCGCACTTGACAAGAGAGCCGAAAGCAGAAAACCTTCAACTTCTTTAACTGCAAAAGAAGATATAAAGAGACTTCAACATAAGTCTTACCAGCACTTAACTTTGCAGAGATATGATAGAAAAAATTAAATAATACAATGGATACATACCCTTCGGAGTAGATTTCTAGTGAAAGCCACCAGCTCTGGGGCGGTCATATGGAGCAGTAGCACGACTGTGCCTCTCACCTCCTGGACCTCCACGGCTACCACCATCCCGGCTACGTCCTCCAGCGCGTTCTCCACTGCGATCAGGTCCATAGCGACTACCTCCACCATCCCTACTACCATACCTATCATCCTTAACACCATACCTATCATCTTTTGCACTGTACCTATCATCCTTGGAGCTGTACCTATCATCCTTGGAGCCATACCTATCCTCTTTTGCACCATACCTATCATCCTTAGCACTGTACCTATCGTCCTTTGAGCTGTACCTTCCGCCACCATCTCTACTACTTTCAGAAGGACACTCCCTTGCAAAATGTCCAGGCTTGCCACATTTAAAGCAATCTCCACCACCTCGCCCACCAGAGGGACGGCTACGATCACGATCATATCCACGATCACGACTGCGATCTCCATCATGATCTCTGCCTGACCCACCCTGATGTGGCTGGGCTTTATCAACAGTGATAGTTCGCCCATCTAAATCCATTCCATTCATTGCTGCAATAGCTTCATCCATAGCTTTTTTCTCATCAAAAGTGATGAACCCAAAACCACGGGAGCGACCAGAAAACTTGTCAAGAACCACCTGTGTATCAATAGATAAGGTTTATCTCTCATACGAGTTATGGTAATAAGAATAAGGTAGACATGACAAAGTTCAAATTGTCAAACAGACAAAACCCTAACTAGAATTGCAAAGACCAAGAAAATGAAATCACACAACACTTCAACAACTCAGAAACTAGAAAAGCAGATTTCCACTAAAAGAGTTCAATTACTAAACAGACACGCCATAAACAGAGTTGCAAAGAGCAAACAAATTACTAAACATATCAAAGCTCAATTTTTTTAAAACAGAAGCCTAAAAAACAAATCAAAATCTTCATCGTTTCAGTAACCAGATGAGCAGAGAGCCAGTGAAAGAGGATATAAGATTTACCTTGGCCTCAACGAGGTGACCATACTTCTCAAAGGCATCTCTGAGACCACGATCAGACGTTGACCAAGCAAGCCCACCAATGAAACAACGGTACTCCGGGTCTTCAGACATCTTCTAAAACAAGTAGCAAATTTTTTTTTTGAAGAAAGTAAATACGACTTGACTCCCAGAAAATCCAACAAACGCAACATAAATTCCTCTACAATAGCTAAAATAGAAACTTAACACTGCAGATCCAGAATATATACACAGCTAGAGAAGCCTAGAACACAATAATTCACAAAAAGAGCGTGAAAGCAAATCTGAACTCGTAATTGATATACTTACGAGATGTATCCACAAAGCTAATTTCAATTGATATCTACTAGCCAACAAACATATCTAGAAATCGTAATTGCGCGATGGTAAACCCTAGAAACTTCAAATCAGAATCGGTACAAAGATGACGAGACATGCAAGCGAATCAATACTTCGGTATAAACAAAGTATAAGAAAACGAGAAATCATTACCAGAGAGAACGAGATCTGATCGTGATTTGCGACGGAACCCTAATTTCTGAGAAGAGGAGAAGCTGCAGAGAAACTTCGGCACAACGACACAAGCGAAAGCAAACGATGCGATATATCTCGTATTCGACAGCTAACGGGGTAATTTCGTCATTTCCATACATGTGGGCCTAAAATAAATGGGCTTTTATTGGGCTCATGTATAAGGGTTTTGAAGAGAAGGTTTTAGTCGCCGTCGTCTTCGTTTTTCTCCGTCTCCGTCTCCGTCTCCTTCTTCTTCTTCTTCTTCACAGGTCTCTTTGACAAATTAGGGTTTTGGATTTTGGGGAAAAAAAGAGAGAGAGAGAGATGTGGTTTCTTTGTGTCTTCTATCACAGACTATTAGATTTCAGAAAGCCAGAAGTTGAAGCTTTAGCTGAACTCTTCGGAGAAGAGATTGCAGAGAATGAGTCTCTCCAATGGCGTTTACCTGAACATCATCATAACGATACTCCATTCCATTTCGTTCAACTTTCTTCAGAAGAAATCGCTCGTAACATTGCTAAAAGAAGCATATTGGTGAAAGGAATGTATGAGCTTTGGGGTGAAGGAACTTGTTATGAAGAGCTTAAAGACTCGATTCAAAGTTACCCCGATTCTCGAAAGCTTCCGTTTCTAACTTCTGATTCAACTTTTAGAATCTCTGTTGAAACTTTTGGAAAGGCTTTGACTTTTGAAGAGCAAAAGGATCGAATCCAGTCTCTTACTTATATCCCATTTGAGGTCTAATTCAACTTTCTTGTTTCAGTATCTTCTGGTGTCTTTTGGTTTCTTCTATCTTCATGTATTTGATTCTTTGGTCATATGATTGTTGCAGGGTCGGGTTGATTTGAAGAACCCAGATCACAACTTTTTTCTTATGGAAATGATTGAATCTGAAGAGAACAATGGACTTCAACCTATTCTGCAGAGGAGGATATTTTTTGGGAGGGAGGTTGGTTTTGCTGATAGGAAGCTTTTACCTACATTTCAGTTGAAATCTCGGACTTACCTTGGTCCGACTGCTATGGATGCTGAAATGGCTTTCTTAATGGCTAATCAAGCGAAAGCTACATCGGGGAAACTAGTGTATGATCCTTTTGTTGGTACTGGAAGCATCCTTGTTTCTGCTGCTCGGTTTGGCGCAATGACAATGGTTTGCAACTATCCACCTTAGTTTCTTGTGATGCCCTTTTGGCGGTTTATGGATCTTAAACTGACAAAGGAGTTCTTGTATTAGGGTGCAGATATTGATATCAGAGTAGTGCGTGATGGACGTGGTCCAGATTGTAATGTTTGGAGCAATTTCAAGCAGGTGCGTGTGATTTCTCTTGTTATGTTTCTTTCTTTCATTTCGATATCTCGGGTTCTTACATCTGTTATCGGTTATGCAGTATGGATTACCTACGCCAGTAGCTTTACTTAGAATGGATAACAATGTTCCTCCTTGGCGTTCGGGGCTAAAGGAGGTAATGCTCTCTCTCTCAGTTCTTTCATTATTATCTTTGGCATATTGAGTGTAGATCACTGAGTTTATGTCATATGTATCTATTGGTCAAGATCTTTGATGCAATTATCTGTGATCCACCTTACGGGGTTCGAGCTGGTGGACGTAAATCCGGTGGTCGGAAAATTCTTAGAGGAACAGTGGATCCTTACACCGTCCCTGATGACAAAAGAACAGATCACATTCCATCCACAGGTGCATATAGTCTAGTGGAGTGTGTTCATGATCTACTTCACCTTGCTGCAAGAATGCTGGTGATGAAAGGCAGGCTCGTCTTTTTCTTCCCGGTTTTGAGAGATGAGACTGGCAGCGAGGTTAAGTTTCCCGAGCACCCGTGTTTCAAGTTAGTAGCCGTCTCTGAACAGATCCTGAGCTCGAGATACAGTCGGGTTCTGCTAACCATGGTGAAAGTAGAGCCTTATAGTGAAGATATTGAAGAAGCTGCTCGATTAATGCATTTAGAGTTTAGAGAGAATCATCTTAAGTGGTTAGAGGACGGTAATATTCATTCCTCTGTTTTTAAACCCATTGATTCTTCTCAGATTCACACTGATCCCAAAACCTTTAAAGATCCAAAACCTAAGTATAGAGGGAAGTATGTGTAAGCACTGAGTTTTGTGTTCTTTCTGTTGCGTTTATGCTGAACAATGTCGTGTTTGACTCTCTTGTTGTTTCAATACAAATAGGGTTATTGGCAAATAAATGTGTTAAACAAACCAAAATACATAAAAAGGAGATGAGAGACTCCAGGATTAACTACAAAAAATATAACAATCAAGATTCTAAAATGTCTTCAAATATAACAAGAAGAGACATTCTCATAAGAGACACGCCTTCGCTGAGCAGAAGACCAAAACGAAACAACGAGGCTCTGATTCCGAAGATGAACCAACCAAAGAAAGAACAAAGATTAGGGTTTTTATAAATATTTATTAATGAAATTATCTCTAAGTCTTCTTCAAAATCTGGGAACTGAGTAGAGTAGTTAAACATATTCCACATTTGGTTGTTCTTCGTTTTCTTCTTACCATCCTTCCCTAGAGGAAGACCTGTCGGAAACCCGAGATTCAGAAATTAATATGACATCGATTTACCAAATCTCGTTAAACTTAAGGTATGATGAGCCTAAATGCATATTTTGTACCAACTGCATATAAGATTTAGTCATTTAGATAGTAATGGGACTAACCTGTTGCTGAAGAATCCGCGCTCTTTGCTTCCTTGGAAGTTTCTTTGCTGATCATCGGCTGGTCTAACCCAGGCATCGACGGCACCACGTGATCTGGGTCTCTCTGTGGATTCAAAACTCCTGGTTTCATCAATTGATCCAGCCCGGGAATGTGTTCTTTCTGAATATGTTCCGGTTCTGCCTGCACCAGACCCGGGCCTCTCAACTGGTTTCTGCCTGAACCTGACTTTGTCGTCCAATTCACGGGTTAGTAATTCCAAATCTTTCTCTTTCCCACGTATTATTTCTGGTAAATCATTGTGATTATTATTACTGCCAGGTTCTTGATCAGATTCCTTGATCTCTGGGGCGATGGACTCCTCGAGTTTTTTCCTTTGTTCTTCAATCTCTTCCTTCAACATCTTCTCTTCTTCTGTTTCAGGCCTGGAAAACATAACATAAGAATCACACAAGATGCATCTCAAAATCTAGGAGGAGACTATAGCATGCATAAAGAGAAGGTTATATACCCAAGAGAAACAAGCAAAATCTATTTAACAGTCTCTGGAACTCATCAATCCACTGAGAGGCAGAATAAAAAATAACATACTAAAAACAATGACCAATGTCAAAAGAGCTCTATTGACTAAACATGAGTAGGACAAAGAAATGAAACAGAGTATCACACATTTCACATCATGTTGTGCGATCTGGAACTCATAGATGCATAATAACCATGAAGACTCTATAACTAAAGTACAAAGAATCCCACTAAGCAGAAAAGGCAAACTATTATAAGTTTTCAGTTCCATACATTTTAATCTCCAAAATTCATCCAACTATATTAAGACTGACTCTTGTGCCATAATGTACCAAGCAATTAAATATCACTTCAATATTCAGATAACTGCAGCGACATAGAATTACTGCAGAGCCACAATCCTCAGAGAAAACTTTAAAAGAATTCCAGATGAATAAGGACCTGTCAACCCTGCGATGCTCGAGTTCCAAATCCATCTTACGCCAATCCTTTCCTTGTTCCTCTAGCAACACTTCTCGAGGCTTTGCATCGCCAAAAGGATTCACCTTTGGTCTCGGTTTAACCACATTATTCAACCCTGAACTCTCAGACCTGTTAGATTGAGCACTAGAAGGTCTGCTCGAATGTGCACTCGTTGGCCTACTCGTTTGAGAACCTCCTTTCTTAGCCTCAATCTCTGAGTCAATCTTCTTCCAATCCAAACCTTTCTCCGCCAAAACATCCTCCCTCGGTCTAGCTGCTCCAAACGGGTTCGGCTTATTCGTCTTCTCAACAACAGTTGGAGTCTCACTCGCTCCTGACTCAACCTTTCGTGGTTCCAAAACCAAACGACGACGTTCCTCCTGAACTCCACCACCTCCGGCTACTTCTCCTCTGGACCAACGGTCAGATTCACGGCCTGAATCACCAAAACTCGATCCAAATGTAGATGATCTAACCGGTGCTTGCCTTTTCCCTGCACCCCAATTATCAACATCATCAGCTCTAGATAATCCACCACCGCCTCCAAAACCACTTCCACCACCGCCTCCAAAACCACTTCCACCACCGCCTCCAAAACCACCTCCACCACCACCGTAACGACCTTGTCGTCCTTGATCAAAAGAAGGAAGTGGTTTCTTCGCTTTCCCCCAATCATCAACCTCATCAGCTCTAGAAGGTTGAGCAAAATCCGAAACCCTAGACTGATTTCCCCTCCTATCATCATCAAATCCACCACCATAAGGTCTCCGTCCTCCACCACCACCACCCCAAGACCCATCAGAATCATCTCGATCTCTCCCCATTCTTCCACCAGAACGACCACCATAAGATGAAAACCCACCGCCTAATCGACCAGGTTGCATTTCCTCCTCCGAACGTTGTCTAGGACCAGTAGGTAATTGAAGAATCTCTTGCTGAGTCAATCCAACAGAGTTTCTACCTCCAGGAGCTGTGTAAGCACCTGTAGTAAACTCAGATAAACTCATCTTCTTCATCTTCCTAGACTTAGGATTAGTAGCAGTCGCAGCAGCCTCTCTCAGGCTAGGAAAACTCTGTGTATCCGCCGTCGCAGCAGTAGCTTCCGCCGCTTGTTCTTCATCGGCACGCTCTGCTTCATCAGCCCAAGCCCCAATTCCAATTCCACCCCAAGGTTTCGCCATCAATTTTTGAAATTCAGAATCTGACAAATTCTCTCGGATCTGAAATCGGAGATCGGAAAAAAGTAACAGATCTAGGGTTCCGATGAAAGTTTGAAAACCGTCAGAGAAATTTTATTCCTTTTGCGTGAAGATTGAAAAAAATTGAGATTTATTCTCTTTGAAGCTGTTTTGTTTTTTCTTTGCATGCTTCTCAACGAAGGAGAGAATCGAGCCATCACGCGTTAGAGAAGCGCGTGAGTTACACGTCCAGTTGGTAGAGAGAGAAGAGAGGAAGTTACTGCTTTGATAGTGTAGCGCACGCGATGTGTAAGCAACTGACGGTTGACTTTAATGAATTGAACGGTCATAAATCTATCATTTAATTGTTGTCAAAACAAATTAAAATGTTATTATCATTCCTTGTTTCAAAAATCGCTAGTCTTGATCGTAGAGTAGATCTAGCTATTAATCAATTAATCAGAAATTATACAGAAATTAATCAGAAATTAGTTTTAAGATTTATATTTAGTTATATTGTTTATATATTTAGTATCATAAGATAAATTATATATAGTTCTCGTGGTGTAATGGTTTAAATCATAGAAAATAAGTAACATGTCACGGGTTCAAATTTCATATATAGTCATAAATAATCGATTTTCAACTTAAATTTAAAAAAAAATGAGTTTTTTTTACATATCCAATTTATTAACCCATTATATTGAAATCGCGGCGGCTGCGTGCTGCCGCACGTTTTTCCAGCCAATAAATCGGCCGCGGAGGACATTTTTTGAACAAAGGTATCATTTTATTAATTTCCTTTAACTTAATTTGTTTTTATCAACTAATTTATTCTTACTGATATAGTAATCAAAATGTTTAAATTTTAATCTAGCACATGTTAATATGGAATATTATGCCAAACTAAAAACAAAAATCATTGAAATATTTTTTAAAAAATGTAAATTAGCATTCCTCTTAAACTGTCTGATTATATAAAATTTGGTTTTCAAAGTTAGTAACTCACGTTCGTGACACGTATCAAGTTTATTTTAATGAATTTTTTTATATAAATGGAAATAAAAATTATATAAATGAAAAAAAATTATATAAATAAAACCAAAATTAAACGATACATCGTAAAAGTAAAAATATTATAATTACTTTTAAAGGTATATTAAAAAGAAAATAATATAGTAATTTACTAATTATTAAAATTCAAAATTATTATTTTTTGAATATATAATAAGAGAAAATTAGAGATAAAAAATAAAAATAAAATATTATTTTTTATATATAAAGTTGCTAACTCACATTAACGCGACATGTGTCAAGTAAAACATAAGATGTTGTCATAAGTCAAGTTTAAATTTGTTAATATTGTCGTCAATTACATTCTCATCAATGGAAATTTTAATTTACTCATTTACGTTGTCGTCTTTGAGTTTAATGTTTTGGACCCGTTTGTCTTTCTCTTTTGATTTGTTTTGAACCTGGAAAAATGACTTTTCAAGAGGCTTTGAAAATGCCACACAAACAGACCCATCATCAAACCTAAATCATATCATGGTATGTAAAGACATTCATCTACATATGATGTACACTTCAAGAACATTTTCTTACAGTATATATATTAACTTTTTGAAATGAATCCTACATATTTAGTCTATATGTGGTGTGATTTTGAAAATCTTGAAATTGAAGCTAGCCAATTGGTCCATTTCGTAAAGTGCATCAAGACTTTTCTTATCTCAATAGACCCTAATTTGAGACTATCTAGTACAATGTATGCCATGAGAAATACTAACATTGCGTTTATTATGGAGAACTTTCATGCGCTTGAGGACCCGTTTGTCTTTGAGTTTAATGTTTTGTACCCGTTTGTCTTTGTACCAGTTTCAACATCGATTTAATTTTTTGAGCTCCATATCAGTTCCGTTCCACTACAAGAAAAATGGACATTCTTAACACGAGAGAAATGCTATAATACGTCATTCATAGCGTTTTCATAAACGCTGTTTCTGCCCAGTTATCTTAGGGTCACTCAATACAATAGCGTTTTTTGTGTGTGTTATTATAGGTCGTTCTATTATAGCACTAATCAAATGCTTTTATATATTTTTTTGTAACACATGTTTAATGTTGCTTTATATTGTTTTGTAACACTTTTATTTTAATATATAAATATATTTAATTTGATTTATATAATTTATATATTTGAATCTTGTTTTGCAGAATTTAATAATTTGGATTTATATTTCAAAAATCATAATATACATAATATTAAGATTACATAACCCAAAAAAGTCTTACATAACATCATATTCAAATAAAAGTAAAAACATCGATAAAAAAACAACAAGAAGTAACTCTTCCACAAGCAAATGACACACCATTTCCTCCATAAGTACATAAATTGGCTCGATGTTTTGGGTCAGCTATCCTCTTCTGGGTGTGTTAGCATTTCGGTAGATTGCTTGGCTACAACAAAAAGATACAATGGTAAAAACGATGATGTCAGATATTGTTAATGCACAAACGGAGAATGCAAAAGAGACCCAAGATCAAGTAACTTCAATTATGCAGTCCTGCCATAAGTTACCACATCTATAAAACCTTCAGAACTGATGCACGTTTATGTCCTAAATTGAAACTTCAACATCTGTCTTTGTTGTTATAATAAGGTGAGACATTAAACTCATCATACCTATTAGGAGTTGCTAGTTTTGTGGTTTCTTGGTCTCAACAACAAAAGTATGGTGATTTTGTAATCAATTCAAGTAATATAACTTAAAATTAGAAAAGGGTAAAAGCTTGAGCACCTAAAGAGCAGCCAAACGAGCCTTGTCCTTGGAGATATCATCAGGCTCACCTACAAGCTGAGGCAACTACATCGGAAAAGATACATAATAAAAACAAAAACAATGACCCTAAAGTACGCACCGTCCAGTCACAAACGTCACCGACCGTGGTAAAACCACCTCTCAAGAACCTAAGAATCAAAACTATACACAAGCTCAAGAGTTGTTATCGACACCTAAGAACAATGTGCATAATCTTAAAGTCTTCCTCAAAAGAACTTGTGTTGATATCTCATCTTATTGTGGAAATAACTTAGAGAATTACAAGCTTGGTTAACAAACTTAGATTGTTCATTAGGTTTTATACAACTCTACAGTTTCTGGAAAGTTCTTACCTTGTCGTTTCAATTGACAAATGGATTGAAGTGAACTCAACTCCTACTCTATCTTCAACATTTGTAATCTATTCTTTGATAAAAAGAACAGTGTGTTCAGTATTTGATTAAGCTGTATAAGCAATGCAAGAATATGGAATATCGAGAAAAGTATACCAGCATGGCTCCACCAAGGTGAACGATCCATGAAGCATAGTGATCTGAATTCATTTTCAGATTCTTGGCCACACAGTAAGAAAATATTGATTAAAATCTGTAGGCCGTAAATATATAGCTAATGAACTAATTAAGAATTATAGTCAAAAGATATTGCACTACAAGAAAACATAGTCATTTCCGAGGAAAATTTCCGACAAAATGTTTGGTCGGAAATTTTCCGACAGGTTTCCGACGACTTTCCGACAAGATTCCGAGGGAAAAAAAATTCGTCGGAAACTCGTCGAAAAAAGAGAAAACTTTCCGACGACCACAAATTCGTCGGAACTTTGTCGGAAGGATTCATCGGAAAACATGGAAAATCCCGACTATTTAATTTTATCGGAAATTGGTCGAAAACTTGTCGGAAAACTCGTCGTAAATATTAGGTGAACACATGTTTATTCACTGCACATTTCCCGACAAAATTCCGACGCTTTGGTCGGAAATATTAGTCGGAAAAATCGTCAGAAATTATGAGTTTAAACCTTTAATATTTCCGACGAATTTCCGACGAAACTTAAGTCAGAAAGTTTTGTTAGTCGGAAATTTGTCGGAAAGTTTAGTCGGAAATTCGTCGGAAATTATTTATTTAATTATTTTTATTTTAAAAAATGAAAAAATAAATAATTTATAATAAATAAATAATTAATTTCGTCGGAAAGTCGTCAGAAATATTATTTTGAATTTTTTTTTGAAAAAATTAAATAACTTATAATTAAGTAAATAATTAATTAATAATTAATTTTGTCGGAAATTCGTCAGAAATTTCTACGTTCGTCGGAATTTCGTCGGAAAATGTATGATTTTTCATGTTCCCGCCTTTGTACATTCAATTCAAATGAATTTTCCGCGTTTTGTAGTTTCCGACAAATTTCCGACGAAATAAATCGTCGGAAATTGTTTCTATATATACCAAATGAGTTTTCATCCATTCCACAATTCCAAACACAACAATCTCAATCTCTATTAACATCTTCTTCTCTCTACTTCAAACATCATTCTATTTTTTTTAAAGTTAAAAATTTTTATTCTCTTGTTCAATTAATAGAGACATTTATGTATTTATATATTTATTCATTTTAATTAATTTAATTTTAATTCTCATTTGTTGATAATGAAAATTGGTTATGTGACAATTAATCTATTTTTTGAAGATATTCAATAATTATTTTTATTTTAACTATAATACTCTTATTTGTTTTTTTGTTTTTTTAAAAAAAAATAGAAAAGTCGTCGGAATTTTGTCGGAACTAATTTTGGTATATATTTATTTTTATTTTAAAAGTGGTCGGAAATTTCCGACGAATTTCCGACCACTATATAAATAGTCGTCGGAAATTTGTCGAAAATTTCCGACAAAATTCCGACAAATATTTCCGACAAAAATTCCGACGAATAGTTTTCGTCGATAATTTCCGACGAATTTCCGACAACTTATGGTTTCCGACCAGAGAATTCCGACGAATTTGATTTTGTCGGAAATGTGTCGGAATATGCTATTTCCGACGAATTCCCGACCAATACCGTCGTCGGAAATTGTGATGTTTTCTTGTAGTGTTGCTCACCTAAAAGTGCCATTTCATTTCATAGGATCAAAGACTCCAAGGATAGAGTCCACCATTTTACACTACAAAAGCAAAGGTCACATTTTTACACTCAATTAGCAAACATGAAATATCATCACAGAGAGTTGCCAGGAGAAGATAGAAAAACCTTATCTTGATTAAAGTTAAATCTAAACCCGAACCAAATCAAATCCTAACTACAATTATATTATCA